AAATGGAGTGAAACATAAGGTAGCTACATCTTATCACCCACAGACGAGTGGCCAAGTGGAGGTATCAAACAGAGAACTCAAAAGAATTCTGGAAAAGACAATAGGACCAACAAGAAGAGATTGGTTAGCAAAGCTTGATGATGCTCTTTGGGCATATAGAACTGCGTTTAAAACCCCATTGGGCACTACACCTTTTCATCTTGTTTATGGTAAGACTTGTCATCTTGCATGGGAGTTAGAGCTCAGGGCAGAATGGGCAATAAGAAAGATGAATTACGACATCCAGACAGCAGGTGCAAGACAGTTGATTTAGTTAAATGAGTTAGAAAAGATTCGCCATAATGCTTATGAGAACTCTAAGATCTACAAAGAGAAAACTAAAGCATTCCATGACAGGAAATTAGTTCCTAGGACGTTCTTACCTAATGACCAGGTTCTACTTTATAACTCACGTCTAAAATTGTTTCCTGGGAAGCTTAAATCACGATGGTCTGAACCTTTCAAAATCAAAGAAGTTTTACCCTATGGTGCTGTGGTTCTACGGAATCGTCAAGGAGGCGATTTCACTGTCAGTGGAAACGTCTTAAGCCATATCTTGCAGAAATTCAAGAAGAAAAGGAAGATCCAATCTCATTAGCAGATGCGCCTAATGCCTAAGAGACCACCAAGTCAAGCTAACGACTTAAAACAAGTGCTTAGTGGGAGGCAACCCACTCGGTATTTTACTTATTTCCCTTTGATTTTTATTCTCTAGTTTGTTGCTTTGTTTTTGTTTCATTTAATTTCAGGTTTTTACAAAGAAGAACGAATAAAAGATGAGAAGAAATCATAATCCAGAAAACGGCCATCACTCCTGCCCCGTTGAAACTTCGACTGACAGTGCCATCATTCCAACCGCGACTCATTCTTCTGGCAAGGTAAGTACATCTAAACACTTAAAAATAATATTTTCTTATCCATCTTTTCTTAGATTTTATCACACTGAAGACAGTGTGAAATAAGTCTGGGGGAGGATGTCCATCCGTTACTAACGAAATTTGATTTGTTTGGAGTTTGTTTTGGACATAAAAATTTTCATAAAATTTTTCAAAAGTTTTTCAAAATGTTTTTCAAAACTTTTTCAAACCAGGAACACAATAAACAATACTATGATGATTTAGACTAGTGTGTTTCTACGCTATTTTCTCGTTTTTTGCTCTTTTATGATTTAGGCCTAGATTAGGTGGTAACTAGTGTACTTTTTACACTACGAACTCCCACCAGAGAACTTCTATTCATGGAGATTCTTTGTGACAGGATATACGTACTAGCTCATTTTATTTGGACTTAATCTTGACTTAACTTTCTCATTAAAGTATTAGATCAGGGAAACGAATCATACATTCAGGACTCTTTTATCCTTTTACCGATTGTTGATCCTGAATGGCTAGTTCACCTTTAGCTAGTTCCCTTCCGTAACCCAGCCTCTTTCAAACCACATGCACTCTTGTTTTTCATTGTCATATATGCAGATATGTGCAAAAACGTCGAGAGAAAGAAGATCAACACGGTTTTCAGTCACTAAAGACAGAGACCTGCGATTTCATTGGAATGATTCAACAAAAGGAGTAAACTCAGTTTGCCTTGGAAAAACTTCAAAATCTTTGTACAATTTGGTCCCTTAGACTCTCTCTCTATAAAAGCTTGTTTCCCCTTTCAAAAAAAAAAAATTGAAAATAGAATTAAATAAAAGAAAAAAATAAGAAAAGAAATGAAATAAAAACCTTAAGAGAGTCTAGGAGGATCGATTTTATCCTTGAGGCAAGCTAGAGTTTGATTATATGGAGTTTTGGAGATTATTTTTCTGATTCCCGAAAAAGATTTAAGTCTGGGGGAACAACTGTTTACAACCAAGGAGGAAAGACTATGCAACAACATTTGGCAAGGAGAAGTGACTGAAAATTGCGGACATCAACAAGTCCACTCTCTCTTGCGGTTTTGCATAATATCTTGCATCCTCCAGATCTTCAGGTAACCTGAAACACTTTAACTCCACCACATAAATAGTCCTTAATTACCAAACGCCGTTTACCCTGAATGATGTCTTTAATGAGAATTCAGTATGCACTTAATGAATGTAAAGAGCTAGTTTACTGGAAATCAGATCTAAGTGTCTAGATTTTTGCATGACGGATCAACGGACTAGTTATGTTTGTATTTTGGTGAGAATTTTCAAGATTAGATCCAGATAGATGTTTTACGATAGGTTATGGTTTAGAAGGACGATCACTGAGATTGTTTAGTTGCTGCGGGTTTTTAAAGATTATTTCCTGGCTTGATCTATGTTTTGTTTGAGGACAAACAAAGGTTTAAGTCTGGGGGAGTTGATAACACCGGATTTTGACAATTTTTATGGATCGTTTTAATATCTTATTCAGGTGTTTGAAATCTGATTTCAATGGATTTTAATTGATTTCTATATTTTAGAATTTTAAAAAGACTTTTCAGGAAATTTGGACTAAAGATGTGCAATTTAGAACAAATAAGCAATTTTGGATAAATGCATACCGTCAGAAGTATGGCACTCGATGAAGACATTATCACCGTCTGATTATCCCCAAAATTTGAGACAACATAGAAGAAATAACCAGCTTTCTAATGCAATTGGTTTGAAGACAATCCAACGGTTAAATCGTCAGATATTTCTGATGCACTAAAAACAGAAAAGTCAGTCTCGAATGAGAGCATAGGCCGCGACCGCGGCCAGACTATGATTCCCCGCGGTCAGGACCACCACGACCGCGGCCAGACATCGTTGACGTCCGAAAATGACCTAATTCAAGCCCAAGTTCAGCCCACTACTTATTCTTCAAACCCTAGACGTTTCCAACAAATTAGAAGGCTATATATACTCGTTTTAGGTCATTCTAATGACCAAGTCATGGAGAGAGAGCAGAGAAGAGCCGCATACCTTTGGAGTTGCCGTCTTCGGGAGAAGAAAGAGTCGCCGAAGGAGCCATCATCGATATCCATCTTCATCCTCGTTCTTCGTTCTTTACCTTTCTCTTATTTAATTTCCAGCAAACTACAATACTTCTGTGATGTTCTTATACACTATGATTGAGTAATTCCCTTGTTGGGTTTTAAGGGATTTTCAAAGGGAATTCATGGATTGATTTCTGGTTTGTTAGATTAGGTTTTATATTTAGATTTCTTCGTCCAAATTTGTGTTTCGTTTATGTGGCTTGGATTGACCATCTACTGCGATTATGTTGATTTACTCACCGAAAATGTTATCGAATCAATTAACCATATTTAGATGAACAAATTCTCTTAGACAGTGTGAGTCGATCTAAAGCGTTTTGTGAAATTATCAAACTAATTTGTCTAGACACTTAGAGAACTGAATGGGAGTTTAGTAAATCTGAGTGAACTGATTTGTGATTAATACTACGTGAGTAGGTTAGTCTGGGTTTGATTTCAGGAACATATCTATAGAAAACTATATGTTTAATTCTCTTGTTAGCTAGTCTATGATTCCTGACAAATTCCCCAACGCCCAACACCTTCTCGTATTGATTTGATCTTATTGTTTACCTGTTTTTAAGTTTATTATATGCTTTTTTCGTCACTATTCACAACCCCAAACAAACACCCATATTTTCATCTTAACTCAGTTCTTATTTCAAGTGAATTCGTATTGCAGTTACTTGGTCTTCAGTGGATAGACCTTTAAGTACTATAATGTACATCTGTGTACTTGCAGAAAACTAGGGTTAAAACCTGAGCACATCAAACTCCAAAAAACGAAAACCTTAAGCTTTTTCAAATTAATACCAACAATTCTTCAATATTAGAAAGTCTTCGCTCCACTAAAGACTAGCGAAGATTATACTCTCTAAAGAAGGAAATTTCCTTCAGAAATTTGAAGAATCGATTAAAGTTTGCAAAAGAAAATTCGAAAAACGAAGAGACAAAATCCAGTCAAGCCGGAAAACTAAAATCTGTCACGCAGAACTATTATTAATCCGACTATAATATAGAACATGTCGGAATTATTGGAGATCCGATATTAATCAGAACAAAAACGGAGAAAAGACTCTCTCTCTTTGAAAGATAGAGATGAGGGAAAAGAGAGAAAAAAACTCATGATCTCTATTCTCTAAACAACCATGTATTTTTAACACATTCTAAAACAACATTTTTTAAAAACAAATTGTAAAAAAAAAAATAATTGAGGACTGTTAGATAATAACTATCTATCTGAATATTTTATTAATTACTTGTAAGAGAAGTTATTTTCACCGCATGTCAAAGCCGGTAACTTCATTTGCTGCTCCTGTAAATATGTAATTAAGTTGAGAGAAATGAGACATAGATGTGGAAGTAAATTTCTTCCTTCATTCTCTCGTGTCTTTGTATCTCTCTACCACTCATATACTTAGTAAACCTTACTTTACATATAAAATAAATTAGAGTTTACATTACATTATCAGCACCTCTTGATCTGCTCTTGTACCTAAAAAGGTAAAATTTATATTTATGTTTAATATTTCAAGTTTACGTATTATTTTGGGATGATAAGGTTCTGCCTTTCTCGAATCGTTGATTTAAATTTATGTTCAATTTACTTTTAAAGTTTACAGAATGATAGGCTCTGCTTTCCCCAAACTGATCGTTATGATAGGCTATGCCTTCACGATCATATGATCATATGGTAGATTATGTCTCTTCAGATTATATATATGGAGTAAAAGGTTAAACTTCCTCCTTGATATTATGTTCATGGAGTAGTAGGCTCTGCCTCCTCAATAAATATATGGTAGGCTCTGCCTCCTCAAAAATATGGTAGGCTCTGCCTCCTCAAATTATATGGAAGGCTCTGCCTCCTATATTATTTTAATTTTTATACTTTTATTATGTGTGAGAATTAATTTTTTTTATCATGTTTTTCTCGAAAAACAAATTTTTAAACTCAATGTTTGCTAAATTTATTCTTGATAAAATTATATACAGTTATAATGTCGAATTTGGCGAAGCTCGAAATCTCTGCCCTTGATGTGTCTGGAAAAAATTATATGTCATGGGCAGTAGGTGCAATAATGCATCTAAGAGGAAACAGGCTTCTCGATACCATCGATAAGTCAGAAACGACATCAGATGAGTTAAAGGCGAAAGCCATGATATTTTTGCTCCACCACATCGATAATAGTTTAAAAGAAGAATACATCACAAAAGAAGATCTTGCAGATATTTGGCAATCTCTTAAAGATAGGTTTGATTACCAAAAATATGTGATCTTACCAAAAGCCAAACATGAGTGGCTGAACCTCCGATTTCAGAATTACAAAAGTGTTGGTGAATATAATTCCGCTATGTTTGGAATTACTTCTAAGATGATGTTATGTGGACAGGAGGTAAGTGATTTCGACATGATCGAAAAAACTCTCCAAACATTTCATCCTGGAAATGTAATCCTGCAACAACAATACCGGGCAAAAGGTTACACAACTTACTCGGAGTTGATGCAAGTCCTCTTTGTAGCTGAACAAAATAACCAGCTCGTGATGTTAAACTATCAAACTCGTCCAACTGGATCATTGCCATTCCCAGAAGTGAATGTTGCGTCATCCAGTCAAAATAATAGAACCGAACACGGACGCGGGCGTGGTCGAGGCCGTAACCGCGGTCGCGGACGAGGTCGTGGACGAGGAAGACAAAACGATATTGGTCGGGAAGCAGGAAAGCAAAAAGAAATTGCTTGTTACAGATGCGGCATGAAAAATCATTGGGCAAAAACCTATCGTACGCCAAGACATTTAGCCGATCTGTACCGAGCATCACAAGATGCCAAAGAAAAGGATAAAGGAAAGAATTTTGAAACCAATTTCATCTCTGATGAAGCTGGACCTTCCTTTGATGGCATAAGTGATTATACTCATCTTGATATCGCTGATTTCCTTGCTGATCCTGATGAATCAACGGAAACAAAGCGATTAAGATCAATGTAATATAATATCTTTATGAAGAAGATACGAAAAACTAATGTAATCTTAAATAAGAATGAAATATATTTTTCTAAACATAAAAAAGGGTTTTTCTTAATGCAATATAACTTTTCAAATCATGTTTTTCATTTATTAATGCATTTCTTGCATATTGTGATTCAGACTATGACATCATTTGAGATTCAGGATGGAGATACATGTCTAGTCGACAGTGCTACGACACATATTATACTTAAAGATAAAAAATATTTCTCCTGTCTCAAAATAAAGGACTCTGCCGAAAGCGTGGGTACCATATCTGGTAATGCAAATATTATAATTGGCTCCGGAAGAGCTAATTTTTCAATGCCAAGGGGGACAAATTTTGAAATAAATGATACATTATATTCCCCCGAATCCAGTAGAAACTTGCTAAGTTTTAAAGATATCCGAGGAAATGGATATCATATAGCAAGTACAAATAAGAATGGCATTGAATATCTTTGCATTATATCTGAGAGGAAACACGTATTAGAAGAATTACAAATGATGTCCTCTGGGTTATATTGCACAAAATTAAATATGATTGAATCCTATGTTACAGTAAAACCAGGGTTTACTAGTACATTTAGAGTATGGCATGAAAGATTTGGCCATCCTGGATCAGTCATGATGAGAAGGATTGTGCAAAATTCGAGTGGCCACCCATTGAAAAACCAAAAGATTTTTCAATCGGGAGAGTTTTCATGTCAGGCATGTTCTCAAGGAAAACTCATAACTAGGCCCTCGCCAGCCAAAGTTGGGAATGAATCTCTTGTATTCTTAGAGAGAATACATGGTGATATATATGGGCCGATTCACCCACCGTGCGGGCCATTTAGATATTTCATGGTATTAATTGACGCATCTAGTAGATGGTCACATGTGTGTTTTGTTGACCACAAGAAATATGGCTTTCGCAAGATTCATTGCCCAAATAATCAAGTTGAGAGCGCAATTCCCTGATTGTGCTATAAAGAAAGTCAGGCTTTACAGCGCTGGTGAATTCACTTCAGCAGCCTTTAATGACTATTGTATTTCATTAGGAATCGATGTTGAACATCTGGTTCCACATGTTCATACACAAAATGGTATGGCTGAATCTTTAATAAAACGGTTGCAATTGATAGCAAGACCGTTAATATTGAGAACAAAACTCCCAATTATTGTATGGGGACATGCTATATTGCATGCTGGGGCATTGGTCCAGATGAAGCCAAGAGCATATAATGAATATTCCCCAATACAGTTAACATCTGGCAAGGAGCCAAATGTATCCCATCTCCGTATATTTGAATGTGCGGTCTATGTCCCAATAGCCCCGCCGTAAAGAACAAAAATGGGGCCACAAAGGAGATTGGGAATATATATCGGCTATACGTCACCAAGTATAATTAGATATCTTGAATTGGTAACTGGAGATATGTTTACGGCACGTTTTGCCGAGTACAATTTGTCCTGAAGTACTTTATATGAGCGTTATCGGTGGGCTTATGTATCTTGCAAATTGTACTCGACCAGATATAGCATTTGCTACTAATCTACTTGCAAGATACAGCTCATCTCCTACGTGCAGACATTGGAATGGAATAAAACATTTTTTCCGTTATCTCCAAGGTACGATTGATCTTGGTTTATTTTATCATAGAAACCCCGAAGTTGGTCTAGTTGGTTTTGCAGATGCAGGATACTTATCAGATCCGCATAAAACTCGATCGCAAACTGGATATGTTTTTACAATTGGTGGATCAGCGATCTTGTGGTGTTCTCAAAAACAGACTTTGGTCGCTACTTCTTCAAATTATGCGGAAATCATTGCTCTTTATGAAGCATGTAGAGAATGCATATGACTCTGATCTATGACTCAACATATACAAGGTTCAAGTGGAATAGTCATCGATACGGAACCAACGAAAGTGTTCGAAGACAATGCTGCATGTGTCGCTCAACTCAAAGAAGGTTTCATTAAGAGCGATAGAACAAAACATATTCCTCCAAGGTTTTTCTCTTACACTCAAGAACTCGAGAAGAATCAGAAAGTGGATATTCAATATGTTCGCCCAAGTGATAATGCAGCAAATCTTTTTACATAAGCGCTTTCCACTACATCATTCAGAAAACATGTCCATAATATTGGAATGCGCCGACTGCAAGATCTATAAAGAAAAGTTATATCTATCATTTCCAAAGGGAGATTATGTTATTGTACTTTTTTTTCCTTGTCATGGTTTTTTTTTATTCCAATGAATTTTTCCATGATAAAGTTTTTAACGAGGCAGTACCAGATATATTATTAGAAATGGATAATTAAGAGAGAGTATCAGATAATAATTATTCATCTGAATATTTTATTAATTACTTGTAAGAGAAGTTATTTTCACCGACATGTCAAAGTCGGTAACTTCATTTGCTGCTTCTATAAATATGTACTTAAGTTGAGAGAAATGAGACATAGATGTGGAAGTAAATTTCTTCCTTCATTCTCTCGTGTCTTTGTTATCTCTCTACCACTCATATACTTAGTAAACCTTACTTTATATATAAAATAAATTAGAGTTTACATTAAGGACTTAGATATTGCAACCAACATAATTAGTTATATTATACAACTAATACAAACTACATAGAAAAATTTTACTATAAAATTCTTTGTCAATGGCTTCACCCACACAAGATTTTAATGACTTGAGAAAAACTTTGGATCACAGATTTATACGAAAATGTAATCAAGCTTTTTTCTTCCACACAATTACAAAATCGACATCGTTGATAATCTAACTCATACACTCTCTTTACTTACTTTACTATAAAACCATATCTCTAAGCAAATCAGTTTTGTTTCTATCTATTCTCTCTTCCGTGATGGACTATTCATCATCTCTCGATCCCAACACCAACCCTTTCGATCTTCATTTCTCCGGCAAACTTCCGGTGAGTTCAAAAATTTCCTTCTTTCAACTCAATTTCTTCCGGATCGGTGTTGCAGTGAGTTAATATGGGTTTTCATTTTCGTTCGTGATTCAGAAAAGGGAAGGCTCTGATTCGTCTTCTGTTGATTTAGTCAAAGACGAGGTTAGTTCTTTTCATCGAACACTTGGTGTGCAAACTCTTAGGTTCAGATCTCTGATTTAGACATTACATAGTTAAATTAGATCAGTGATGATATAATCAAAAGCTCAAAACTATGGTCAGATTAAAAAAAATCGAAGCTTTTACTTAATCTGATTTGTTGATTTGATTTTTATGGTTTATGACTTCTGAAACAGAAGGCTAATACGTTACAAGAGGAGTTAAACCGGGCCAATTCCGAGAACAAGAAGCTAACCGAAATGCTAGCCAGAGTCTGTAAGAATTACTATGCTCTACAAAACTATCTGGAGGAGTTGCAGAGTAGGAAGAGTCCTGAAAATGATAAATTTCAGACCGAACAGCTTACGAGGAAACGAAAACAGGACATTGGTGAGTTAGTAAGCTCCTCGGTTGGACTCGGTTGCGGTACAAGCGAGATTATCTCCGGCGATAATTCAACGGTTTCAACCTCTTATTATCCCGCTGATAAGTCTGATTCAAGCTTGGTAAGTGTTTGTCTTGTTCTTTATTGATACGCATACAAAGTGTAAATAGGAATGTTGAGATTAGACTTAAAAGGGTCTTTTGACCAGTTGGTTCTTGATTTATAGATAATTAAGGGTAATTGTTCTTGTTCTTCATAATTCAGAGTCTTGATATTAACATACATTGATATGAGTGTTTGTGGAATACTTAATTGCAGACTGTGAAAGATGGATATCAATGGAGGAAATACGGGCAAAAGATTACGAAAGATAACCCATCTCCTAGAGCTTACTTTAGGTGCTCTTTTTCACCGTCTTGTCCGGTCAAGAAGAAGGTAATTTAACATTGAGGTCCAGTTAAAACTTTGTAAAAGAGTTCTTCGAGATCTTGCTGTCTGGCTAAAGATGGGTGTGTGTGTGTTTGTTCAGGTGCAACGAAGTGCAGAAGATCCATCTTTCTTGGTAGCCACTTACGTAGGGACACATAACCACCCAGGTCCACATATAGGTGGGTCCAGGACAGTGGAGCTTGATCTCGTCCAAGGTGGTCTTGGACCTGTCGAGGAAAAGAAAGAGAAGGGATCGGTTCGAGAGGTTTTGATGCAACAAATGGCCGCTTCGTTGACGAGTGATCCTAAGTTTACTGCAGCTCTTGCGGTTGCTATTTCAGGGAGATTGATAGATCAGTCAAGAACATGAAAATTTCTTTAGATTATATTTGTATATTTGTTATTTTATTGCTAATCCCTAGTAAAAAGAAAGGGATTTTGGATTGATCTTGATTAGCAGACAAAGACGACGACTTTATGTAGTGAATGGAGACGGTGTGTGGGGCGGATTTTTGTCACGGAGCGGTCAATACAGCCATCAACTTGCCATACAAGATAGGATTTGAATCGAGCGGTACAAATTAAGAGGAATAAATGCAAACCAAACGGGTTTAGTGGGATTGAGCATAATTAATGTTGATAAGCAGATCAAATAGTTTATAATGTACTACATCAGCCTCTGCATGATAGAAGGAAAAATAATAATAATAAAAAAAATTGATAATCTGTATGATTATGATTCGTAAAATAAGTTTTTAAATGAAATTTTTGTTATATTATTCTTTTTTTTTCTTTTTCCTCTACTTAACTATTACAATCACATTTGGCCTATCATAATGGAAGTAGTTTGTAGACCATTTTTGACCGGTGCGATATGATCGATTTGGAAAAAAATAACTCCTCTTGCAAGCATATTCATCTAGACATTTTAAATTCTCGGAATATGGGATAAGATGAACTCTGAAAAACTCTCGCGAAGTATACGGAAAGATTCCAACTCTGTCATAAAAGACGATCAATCTGCTGGTGATTCACACATGCTCACAAGGTCCAAACAGTCGGTCTGAAAATGCATTCAAGTCATATGTCTTTCTCTCAGGCATGACATAGCCCATAAGAGGCAATCCATCTCGGCGTGAAGAGCCGAGAGGCTTCTACGACATCCCTATAGTCCAAAAATTTCATTCCCTCTGCCATCCTTAAAACTCTAACCAAGGCCGCTAACCTGTCTGTGACTGATCCAAGAAGCATCAATCCGGCATATCGGGATCTGCGGTACCTCGGGTAGCGATATCGTGGCCGGAGGGGGGGGCAACGCCTCAACGTGAGCATCATCGTCGTCTTCAGGTTAATCTCCAACTTTCTGCTTGCACCTTTGCGTGGATCAAGGTGTCTTCCGGGGAAATTTCTTTCCCGTTGAAGATTTTCTCGTTTCCTGCTTTCCAAATAAACCATAGGATCCAAAGATATACATCATTTTGAGGATTTGTCATGCCTTGCTCTTTTGTTTTCCAAAAGAGAAAACTTATATTTGATAAATAGAGATATTCGGGAAGACACCCAGAAAGGACGGAAAGTCTGATAACGCCCAAACTTGTAAGCCCGGAAAACATAAAAACGCTTTTTGTTATATTATTCATAAATAACGCTTTATAGTTTACAGTTAAAAATTATAAATTGATTCATGTTATTCATAAGTTTAGTAAATAATCCCTCTATATAAATTATAAATTTTCAAAAACATTATTTCCATAATATTATGTTATTTCTCTTACTTTTACTTTTTCCTGTTTTAGTAAACAAATAGAAATTGATCCATAATTTTTAGAAATCTTGTGAATAATCACTCTGACAATGATAAGATTTCAAAAGCATAATTTTCATTATATTCTAGTTTCAGTTTTTTTTTTTTAATAATTTTCATTCAAAAAAATGTAATTATGTGGTTTTCCTAAATAAAAATAAAAAATTATTTTTTTTTTTATTTTTTTTTTAAAAAAATTATATTATTACATTGATATATCTCATGATTAGAAATAACAATGACACATATCACAATCTAATAATATGTTATAACTATACATGTTACTTTTTCTATCTGGTAATTTCTATTTTTTTTAAAAAATCATTTTTTAAGTTATAATTAAAAATAAATAGATTTTATTATTACACTGATACATGTTAAGATCTTAACATCTAGAGTCAAACGAGCAAAATCGCTATAGGAGATAGATATATTTGTTTTCAAAAGATAAAAAAAACCCATAAAGTTGAGAATTTTCTTTTGTTCAAATAAATATTTCGATTTAATGATTATAAAAATCATATGTGTCGTGTCTATATTAAAATATTCTCTTTTATATATTAATATATCTGAATAATTAAATAAACAGAACAACCGATACTTACAAATGTTTGAATACTACAAAGCTTTGATTTAATTTGCGCTGTGTGTGAAATATTTCTTTTTAAAAAATTGGTTAAGTAAATATTGATTGATCTCAAATTACGTATATACTAATATCACAACAAAAATTATGATATATATATATATATACATATTCATCGAATATAAATTTGAGTTAGTTTTGTTTTAAGAGTTAATAATATAAATAAAATTTAGTTGTGATAATGATGTGATGTTAATATATACATACTTATATATATATTAACATAGATTATATATATATATCTGTTGAATATGAATTCATTTATAATTTTTTATTAGAAATCATATGATCACTTTTTTTTATCAACAGCTTGAACATCTAAAATGGTTTGGTAATCCGAACCGGTAGTATCGAATTCATATAAATAACATCTTGGGATAGACTTGTGCACTCCAATGCTAAAGATGATCACTTTTAATTAATAAATTTATAATATGTCTTATTAATGATTATCATGAATAAGGTTGTCAAAGTGGACTTACCCGCTTACTTAATTTGTTTTGTTGTGGTCTGATATATTTTTTTTGGACTAACTCAGAAAAGAATTACAATTTTGAATCGTGAAAGCACAACTCTAACACTGTTTAATGACTTTGAGATTTTGTGGTCGATCTACAAACTCTTGAAAAATCAATTTTCTTGTGTCTTAACTCTTTGTAAAAGTAGTAATATATATATTGAATTTAGATTTGAGATATACTCAACTAATATAACAAACTATAGTATATCTCAAAGAAAATTTCATATCATTTAGTAAAGTTACTATACCATTTCTTTTTCAAAATTAAAAACTAATATATTGACTCAAGAGATCTGTTTTTGCGGCATTTAAAACTTAGAATCCTACCTAATCCGCCCTGTAGCAAAACAACCTATGTCTAATCCACATGTCATTATCCCGAATTGGCACTTTAACTATATAATACAATTTAGTTATAGAAAATAATTGGAAATACTACAAAATCTTGAATATATTTAATTAGTAGATTGTTTTTAAATAATATAATATATTGATCAACATGATATTATCATTTCTACTTAGTTTTTCTACTAGTTTTCATTCATCTTTGCATTCTTTTCATCATCATTCATGCCATTTCAGTCTAGATTTATCTCATGTTGCATATTAGAGTCCTAGGATGTATATATTGCACTTGCACTTGCATTTTGGTTATCTATATGTACTTTTGGAGGAAGAGGGGAAGAAGAGGCTTAAAGGAGGAAAGCATGGAGATGAAAAGGAGCCAAGGAGAAGGAAGAACCAAAAGGATAGAGGCCTGTACCGATGCAGGAAGGTGATATAGTTCACAAGAGCCAACAAAGACAAGTCCCTGAAGACATCTACCTCGGTTGTTAGACCAGTGCAGGGAGCCGGCGTGGAGACCTGAAGAACGGAGCAAAGTCCATGGTATAATTGGTGGCGGTCCAGAAGGTGATGTAATGAGCCGAACCACAATGAAGGATTGACATCCTCGAAATCGATGCCGCGAAGCTAAAGCCTAAGAAGAAGATCTGCGTTCAAGTGATCAACACCATTAACCAACCTTCTAATTACTCTATGGTTTCTTGCATTCTTGATGGGTATAATTCTCCTTGTACTTTGACCCTTAGCTTACTCATCATAATACCTTGCACTTGGGATGGTACTGAGTCAACTTGACGGATCCTCGCTAAACCCAGTGTACCTCCTGTGACACGGTATATTACTTGGGTTAGGTAACTTCTACAAATAAAATAATGTTCTTTACAAGGAACGGATCCGAATCTTGATTCACATTTTCATAGACTTAACCTATATCCTCTCACTTGTTTCTTTAAAAAGTCTCAAGCATTCAACTCTTTGTTCTCATGTCTTCAACACATTCCCTTTCCTAGGCCTCGAGACATGGTTTCACCTCTTTTTCCAAACATTAAGTCACTTTTTTTCACCAAAACACCACCTTTCTTACTCTCTTTCTATCATAGTGCCTCTAAAACGACATATACGTCTTTTTTCTTATGACCACTTTTCCTCATGTTTTTCGATGCTTTCTGGTTTTTTACTTCTCAGTCCCATTATTCCATAGTTACTTATGTAACTTATCGTGCTAAACCAAAATGTTCTAACAATTATTGCATATTGGGGTTTAATCACTTACTTAAAGAACATATTTCTGAAGTTGAGCATTATCATTTAGATTCTATTGTGGTTCAGTTTGGGATAAACTTGTTGAAATAATAATCAAAAATTAATTTTAATATGGTTTTGGTTTGATTTGATGAAACATCTTAGTTAACTATATATATTTTCTAAAAATGAATTAAATTTAGTTTGGTTTACGTTGGTATGTAACTTCGTATATTGAAGTAAAACCACTATATATTTCGATTCTGATTTGTGTGATTTGATTTGGCTGATTGCCTACTACTATACTTATATCATGCATTAGGAAGTAACTGTTTCTACGTTTGCTATATTATTGTTAAGTTTGATTGTCATGAGTCATGACACTAAAAATAATCTTCTGCTTGGTTTCATGAGGCAATAATGAAAATTCTAAACCCTTTTTTTGCAGTATCTTCCTCAATACCCCATAATAATCTTTCAATGATGGAACACAATGAGACAATAACAGCAAATAGTATTGTATGGATCCTAAGAGAAAGAAGAATCATCGCATGCATACTTAGAGATTTATCTTCCAAGCCAAAACCGGTTTATGACATTAACAGTTGCACCTAATAACCTCATAAGAGGTAGACAGGTGAGTTCTAACAATAAACTATTCTTCCACAGGGTTAGTTAGTTTTATATTTTGTACTCTTATAAATTATGCTATCCATTTAAACAATTTTCAGTACCTTTCAATGCCATTTATGAGAGAAAAATGGAATGATCAAACTTGGGCTGATAAATATGATTGGAAAAATGGTACAAAATGGCTGGTTAATCTTAAAGGGGAAGGCTTAGGAAAACCATTGTGTTTGGGAAAGGGCTGGAAACAGTTTGCTAAAGCAAATGGATTAAAGCCAGGTAAATTCTTCACGCTAGA